GGAATGTAATGCATATTCTATTCTCAAGTCTCTTTTTTTTCCATTTGTCTTTGTCTTTCAGGTTGGTTAGTGGATGTTACTGGTGAATATCAGTACATGTATTTTGTCTGCGGAGTGATTGTGATTGTGGCCAGTATCTGGTTGTTCATTGGCAATGCCATTAACTACAGGCTTTTGGCAAGAGAAAAGAAGTTAGAAGATGAGAAGCAGAAAGCACAGAAGAATGCTGACCCTAAAGAAGCCGAACCATTAACAAACAATGAGAATGAAGATGCTTCCAGCAGGGCCAACAAAGCTCTAGAAGATCCTTCAGAAAGAGAAACCAATATTTAATCTGCAGTATAGCTCAGAAGTCAACATTTATGACTTCCAATAGAAATATTTTTTCAAGATACAGGCCAAGTTTTGTAGTAACAATGATCAGTCACAATATTGGATGGGAACAGATTTATGCCCCATGGCAAGACTCCAAGTTAAATTACCATTTGCAGTTTATTTATTTATTTCAGTTATACAAAATTGAGGTCACAGAGGTAGTGATTCCATGCAAATGAATCCATCCAAACTCTGGACAGAGTCAGGTAAGCCAGATTATAAAGCCTTCCAATGACAGTTTCCTTTCAAAAGAACTTCTAATGTAAAAGCATCTCTTAATCTGATTTGGGAATTCACTTTATGTTCATCTTTAGAATATTAGTAAAATCTGTTGAAATAATCTGCCCACACTATATTTACAACTGATGTTAAAAAAGAATATAAACTCAATGATTTGTTTCCAAAGAGATAGAATTACTATGTGAAGCACACTGGAAACATTTTTCCTTTTTGTATGCCCACTAGATTAAAAATATATTGTGTCAATATGGATGTGAAAGTTAGGGTTAGAAGGCAAACAGTTGGTAGGCTCTATATCTAAAATGCAGTAAAAGTTGAATTAAAGTATATTCCAGACGTTGTTTCTTCCAGAGATAGCTGACTACACTGTACTTCACATTCTGTGTTCAGACCTTACTAATTGGAACTAAGCTAAAATCTGCCTGTACAAAAAGGGGTTTTAAATCAAGATTTACGTTGCTAAGAAGAGTGACAATCAGTCTGTTCAGTTTTGTATTCATGTTTGGTTGAAGGAACTGCATTGGTCTGTGAAGCCTTCTTTCTCTAGGGACTTGATTCAGAAGCCATTGGTGTTAAAAGGATATTTTCCCTTGACTTTTGTGTCCTGAATGTATTTCATGGCAATTACTCCAAATCAGGTTTATTGATAAGAAGTCATTAGTTCTTTGACAGTCTGTTGAGGGGAGATTTAAGGTCTAACTTCAGGTCCTTGCAGACAAGTAACTTCATACCAGTTCGTACCTGCCTTTCCCACGTACTTAGTGAAAACCCACTTTTTTTTCGCATTGCAGGTTTGAGCAAAAATGCTGCAAGGCACGTCAACAGTGCTAGTCTGGGAGCCTTGTATTGACATATCATTTTTGTGCACAGTATTTGGTCTTGTGTCTACAATTCCACACAGATACTCATATTAAATATCAATTAAAATGTACACTGCTGTTTTTCTTCTTTTAGGCAAAAGAAAACATAAGTCTGCAATTTTACTTTACAAAGAATATCTAGCATTGCACTTAAAAGCCAAAAGTGAAAGCTTCTGAAAGTATTAAATGAAAATATTTTTGTTTTATTTGTAGGTGAGGAGAGGTGCTATTCACTTTGGAGAGATGCATGTAAATGCCTCTGAAATTGTGAAAATTAAGGGTCTGATTCATAAAACATTTATGCACTGTTTATGCAGGATACATGCACATTCAGTTCAGGAAAATGAATATCTCATTTGAGCCCTCTTTCAAATCTCAAAAAAGTGTAAATGTATGGACAGAAAGCTATGTTAAACACATTATGAAGTGCCAATATCAAAAGAAAAAAATGCAATCATAAAGTCCTGCCGGCGTATGAGTGCTTTTAAGAAAGTCATATCCTAATAGTAGTGTTCAATATGATTATTATTATTTTTTTTTAAATTTGGTAGTGCTTGCTTCTGTTTTGCTGGGTTATCACCATATATACGATGAACTTCTTCTGTAATATTGAACCTTTTAATTACCTTCCACTATTTTTGGGAAGCAGCATCATAAATCTACTATCAGCATAGTACATAAATTAATGCCTACATTTCACCTATTTGTCTTCAAGAACACCAAACAATGTTTAAAAGTCTTGAATTTTATAGGAGCATCGGCAACAAAATATGTGCGTTTCAGAGTTTTGGGAGAAAAATCATGTTTGAACAGTGAACTGTGAAGGAAGAATGATTGGCTTTGTAGTCTTGGTAAAATTACAGTTTGTCTTCTAGCCCCCTGCTTCAGAGAAGAAATAAGTACACTGCACCTCTTCCCAAGATGTAGACCTGCCAGCACCCCATGAGGTAAAGGCATTGTTCTCTTTTTCGCTATACAAATACACAGGGTTAATTCCAGAATCCATAGGCTGTGAAGGTGCTACATGCCCAGAGGGAGAAAGAGGTGAGAAGTTTCATAAACACTCAGCTTTCATATTGCTAGGAATATCAGTTAAAAATGCTGGATTGTGAAAGATGAGCTAAAACTTTAGCTAAAGAGTAGTCATCAGGAACATCACTCTGCTTTTGACAGCAAGTGGTAAAAAGGCAGAGATTATTTGAAAAGAGATGAATATAGAGGCTGAACCAAAATGACTGAGGCAAAACTCTAGGTGCTTATTATCTCTTTGCAAAAAACAGCATGATTAAAAATACAGGGTAGAAGACAACAGGCATCAACTTTTGGCTTCATCTGTTAAATGTTACTGTCGAGTAAATAAGGGACTCAGAAGAAAGATTAAAAAAATGTTCTCAGGAACCATTCAGGCAACTTACCTGTTGAGTTCAGGATCACAAAATCAGAATACAATGCAACATAGCATAGGAAGTGAGGGAAAAAAAGTAGTTCCTTGGGCCATAGACACAACAGACTACAACTACCAAAAATAATGTTACTATCTTAGAAGAAATCAAAATTTATATAAACATAATCCTCTGAAGAGTTACTACTCTTTCATCTCCAGTCAATTACACTAAAAAAATAATAATAATGAAAGAGCTGGTTTACCACCTCTAACCAATGTGCAATTTTTAATCACATGATAAGGTAAAATGGTGTAGCAGGCACCTGAACCAATATAAGGTGTGAACTAGTTGAAACGTTTCTTTACACCTCTTTCATTATTTTTGCTTAAAAGTGGCAACAGAGAAAAAAAAATCAGAATATTCTTGATATTGCTGAATGTTAGGGAAGTTCAAACACAGAGCTGAGTGAGGAAGGTTGGGACCATATCTATGCAAAACTGCTTGGAATTCAAAAAGCTGTGTCTTCCAAATAAAAGGTCCTGAAGGGGAATTTACTTTATATATGTAGCTTTTATTTCTAAAAGTAATAATAATAATAAATTTCTTGAATCCAATCTATATTGAGCAGCAAACTAGCTAAATGACCATAATAGACCCCTGTATATCGTTCTTACTTGCCCTGAGCTGTACCTTGTACTGCAAGTCTTTTCATCATCACGTTTCTATTTTCAGGCTAAGAGCTGGGTATATACCATCTCTCTGTATCTCCCTGGTTTCTTTTAGTTATTCCAGGCAGCCTTCAGCCTGGACCACTGGGGCTGCAGGACCAAGGGATGTCCCTGCCCTACAATCGGGGAATGTACTCTCAAACTTCAAGAAATACCACGTGCATCTGTTATGCAGTACAAGGTGTCTGTCAGGCAGTGCAAGCATATCCTTAATCGGTCATAATCTCATTTTTAATCATTTATGCTTCATCCTCTTCATTCCTCTGCCATATTATCACTGAGCCTAATTATCATTTTGCTCTTATTCGATTAATCAAGAAAAATAGTATCACCATTTTAAAACTAGTATGAGAGGGGGTAATTAACCTACATTAGTAATATTTTTCCTATCCAACATCAAGGTTAAATTTCAGTTTCAGAGTATACATCCATGTACAGTCACTTTTAACTCTTTAAGGTTTTGCGACAGCTTACCTCTCTAGTAGCTGGGGAGTTCTTCTGTATTGCCCTTTCCAACTCCAACGACAGACTTATCACCAATAATTCTCAATTCTTTCAAGTTTCATATCAAAAGTTCGCCCCTGCCACCTCTTACCACTGAATTGTTTGCAATCATTCCAAGTTCAGCATTTCCCCCAAGTTCACAAAAGCACATTTTGATCTTAAATCCTGTAACGTAAGTTGGGACATGAGCTGTGAACGTTTTTTGACAGAGTTGGGGGAAGTCTTCTTTTACCTCCAGGTAGGGTTTTTTTTTTTTTTTTGTAGTGATTCTCTCTCTTTTTCTGCTAAAGTTAATGGCAGCAATTTCAGTGACTTCATGATCCAAAATTCACATTAATTTTAATGGTCCTTTGCATAACAACATCCAATGTACTTAAAAACATTGGACCATGAGTACCTAATTGGTCAAAACTTGGAGAAGCCTGTGGGAGTTTCACAAGCTCTTGTGGCAAATGACCAGTTTCAAATGTTTTTTGTACAACTGTCCATAAAGATTCCATAAAGTAACAGTATATAATAGACTGACTCAAGAGGTAGAATTAATCTCATTTAGCTTACCCATGTAGAAATTATATTCACTTTATTACCCTTTAAATCTGCATACTTAACTACTATTTTTCTAATTTCATTTCCCCTCTCATTCCTCGTAAAGATTTTTTTTTTTCCTGTTTTTCTGTTTTTCATTCCAATATAACACAAAGGATTAGGCCCTGGCATACAGTAACTTTTGTTGAATGTTTTCATGTCTTTATCTTTCCTCAGATGAGTATGTGACTTTTTTCACTTGTTACTTCCAGGTCTGGATAGTTGCATTAGTGATAGATAAAAAGCTGCATGTTCATACTCATATTCAGCTGCATAATAAGCTGCAGACATCACATACAGCCAGATTCAGGGCAGGCATCAGGATTTCGCTAAACAAAACTAGTGACTATTTTTTTAGACAAGCTTGCTGTAACTTATACTGACAATTTTGCCTATATCAAAATTGAATTGACACAACTTTTGTTAGTTTCTCTATAGATAACTATTTTTCTACTCGCACAGAGGAATATAAAGGGATTTTCTAACTGATTATTACCA